TGCCTGTGCTCCCACCGCGTCCACCCACCCTTTCCCAGCCCCACTGCCCCCCACGCTGCTCTGCTCTGCACCAGCCTGGCTATGGGGTGGTGGCCCCATCCCCGGTGCCACCCGTGCGCCCGGAGCAGGGCACCATGGCAGGACAAGTGCGCGGTGCCACCGCCTGACAGCTCATCCGTCACGGCTGCCGCCCGGCGGGGATGGAGCCAGATTGGATTTCCAAATTGGAAAATAAACCTCAGCTCCTCGCGGCCCGTGGGCCTTGCCCGCAGAAAACGAGGCACGTGGGGCCGTGCCAGCCGTCTGTCCTGGCCGCTTTGCCCAGCACCGCGTTACTGCTTTATTTGTGGCCTGTATCGACCTGGCGCTTCCCGGGCAGCCGCATGAGCTTATTTATTTATTTGCGACAGCAGTGGCAATTGATCCGTGCCGGGGGGCCGGGTGGCCCAGCGTGCAGATTAGTCTCCAGCCGCTCCACCATTAATAGACTGGAGCACGGGAAGGATGCGGGGAGGGATTAGGAGCCTGGTGGGGCGGCGCGTGCCCTGTGTGACAAGCGACCATGACACGGGCCAGCGTGAGCCCCTGACCCGGCTGCAAAGGGCTCTGCTGTCCCCCGGTTCCTGGGGATTCCACGTTGGCTCTGGGCTGGCAGGAGCACCGGGTCACCTTGGGGACCTTGGTGGCATCGCGGCTGCGGATAAGCTGCTTAGGAGCAGCACGGGGATGTGCTGGGGCGGAGGCGCTAATCCCAACGGCTCGAAGGGGGGCACATGTGGCAACATCTGGGTGCTGGCTGCCTGCACCCCGAGCATCCCCTGGCATTCCGAGCATCCCTGGCACCCCGAGCATCCCCAAAACCCCAAATGTGCCCGTGCCCAGCCCAGGGTGCCATGGGGTGGGCACCAGGCCTGACTTTGTGCCGCTGGGCAGGATGCAGCGCTCAGCAGCTATTAGAGCCTTGAAGAGCTTGTGGCGGTTTAAACTCATTAACTTTTATGTGCTAATAAATGGATCCTATTAAAGAATAATTCTGTTGGGTCTGGGGGGGGGCGAGTTAACCCTTTTTGGCTGTGGCACAGCTGGTGGGGACGGGCAGCAGAGCCCTCAGCCCCCCCACACCGCTCTCCACAGCTAATGTCTCTTAATAGACCCTTAAAAGTGGCAGCCACCGAGTAATTAATCTTTGCAGGGCCCTGCCCTGGCTGCAGCTCGCTATAATTACCCGGTAATTGGCAGTATCGTGTCATCAGCACCGCGTGCGCCCCACGGCACAGTGTGGGCATCCCCTCCACGGGGGACGCAGCGGCGGATGCGCCTGGGAGCCGTGAGCGAGCGGTGCCTCATTAGGGCTCGCAAAACCCTCCTCTCGTTTAGCCTAAACACTCTAAACGGTTCCGCGTGCCGGCAATTTGCATAGATGAGGAGCACACGTGCGCCGAGCTGGGTGCTGAGCGGCAGCGCCGCGGCTGAGCACGTGCAAACTCCTTGCACAGGTGGCTTGCAGCACGGCTGCACGAGGGAGTTGCAAGCAGCAATTCCCATGGCATCCTCGGCCGGGACGTAGCATCTTTTTTCCCCGTCTCCTGCAGGTTTCAACGGGCTGGAGGCGAAGGCGGGGGCAAGCGCCGAGGCGGACGGGGAGCCCACGGCGCTGCCCAC